TGTACCGGATAGTATGTACACTTATTAGTATTGTAAAATTGTAATTGTTTTAATTACAGCATTTTTCTTTACCACTGAACGATGTTAAGCTTCGCTATATTTCAGGCCCATACCTATGTTCCATGGCAGGTATGCAAAAACAAGCGACGATTCTAAGCAAACTAACGATCGAAAAAAATGTAGAGTGTGTTCAAGGATCGCTAGCATTGCGGTGGCGCTTATATATTGCTAATATGCCCGTCCTGTCACTCTATGAAAATGACTCCGTCGTGCATCTTTACGACGGTTAAAAAACATTCGAATGTAAGAAATAAAGTACGTGGATTACGAAAGGTGTGCCTTTTTATTATTTCCTATGTCGGGCAGTTCTTATCAGGCCCTTGTTCTCTGACTTCTCCCTATTTGCAAAGATTTGGAGCGTGCGGTTGATGATTTGAACCCAGAACATGCATCTTCGCACATATTCATGAGCAGAAAGAATAAAGCAGTACTTATTTATTGCAAATCGGACTATATTAGGTGGCTTTCAATTTATTTTGATCGCCTGCGTGCACAAGGAGTTACTTATTCAATGTTACAGCGTAGTTCTTGCCGTCTCTCTTGGTTTCCCACATGTCCTTCGTTCGTTTGACACGTATATCCCCATGGTGGAAAGCGCCGATGCTGTGTTCGCGCTAACAGTGTGCGACAGTGCACATAAATACACGCACGAAGCCGTTTTAGCACCGTTTTGAATCCGATGAATTTGAAAGAAAAACGCCGTATCTGACCAATTATTTCGTCGGCCTGACTGAGAAATGTTCCAAGCTTCCTAGTACGTACGAATTATTCGTGATATTTGCTCTTATATTCGAGCGCGGAGAGAAAATGTACTCGCTTTTTCCCATAGAAATGCATTACCGGAAGTCAATTTCCGACTGGTTGCTGTCTGCTTCAAATTGCAGCAGCACACTAGCGCCACTTGAACCTCTAGCGTACACTATAATAACTCTATGGTTGAGAAGCTGTTTTTTGCGAGCCGTCCAAACTGCCTTAAAGGGCAACTCCAATTCATTTTTCTTTTTGAAAAAAAAAAAAAAAAAAAAAGATTCAGTCTTTTTTAGTGTGATCTAGGAAGACCACACATCAAGTATTACGACCCAGTTCTGTCTAAATGTTTCCTAAGCGGTCCGGCAAACTTTTCAAATCGCCAAGTAGCAGAAATCGGCTGAATCAAGAGGGCGAATTGAGGCGCAACCAACAGTGCATTCAAGTCTACGGCGTGGGCGTAGCGAACATTGATCTAAACGCATTCACCATTGCCCCCTTTTGCTTGTTTTTTCTTCTCCGGGAAAGCGTAACGGGTGACGTGAGCACCGTTTCCTTTCGGCGCTCAGCGGTGCCTACGTGATTGGCGTAACGCGCCTGCGCAACGCGTTTCTTGGGAGCCGTCTGGCCGCCCCGCCGTGGTCCCACCGCCGTCTCCCACGTCGCAACTGCCGTCGTCTTCTTACCGTTTGCGATTATTGTCTCTCGGAGTTTCGCCCACACTACGGGCGCTACGTAGGCAGACTTATGCCGCAGTTAAGCAGACGTCGTCGAATGTCGTAGACACCAAAACGTGGTGAGGACTGCGGGGCAGACGACACTTCCTCCTATCACACGCCCACCCCGATTTCACCCGTCGTTGCGCAGATGATCACGTGACATCTCGTACCACTTGATAGCCATGTTTTTGGTGGCCCGAGGCCAATGTCGCCGAACGGAGCCGAAGTTTCGGTTTCGATTTCTGCTCCCGTTAGAATTATATTTAAAAATATGTATCCCATTTTTTTGCGAAGCAAATGACGTAGTGTCTTTTATTAGGGCTTTTTCACGCGAAATCACTCATTATCCAGGAATCTTTGTAATCGAGTGGAGTTGCCTTTAAAGGGGCAGTCCGGGGATATTTTAGGTTACCCTAACTATATAACTAACAATAATTTGGGAATTACCGGCCTTTACCCTTTCCGGTATGTTATTGAGTATTGCGAAATTCAGAATAGTTATTGTAAAATGAAGAAGTTATTATGATACCAAAACCAATATTCAAATCCACCCGCTCTTTTCAGTGTAGTGACGTCAGGAGAAGTCAGGCTTGCAGGTCGAGCGGCCAGTCTAAAAATGGACTTTGCCGAGCATTTGTTCCGTGCTGCTGCGAGGGTGCTTAAGCGAACTTCCAAAGCATTCATTCGACGCCATGCAACTGCTTGTAATCAGTTGGGAACAAAATCTACAGTTCAAAGAGTGAACCTTTGCCTCCTCTGACGTCACTTCTTTATTGTTGCCAGTAGAGACATTCACTGCAAAAAAACACGGTGAGGACCACTATTGCAAATTCACGAACTTCGCGAAAAAAAAGTATTTTTTAACCGATATTTGAGTTGCTAATCCACCAATGAATATTTGTGTGTTTAGCGAAATTTCAGGCAAATGATGGACTATAAAGAAAGTGCCGGAGTACCCCTTTAAAGGCGTTAGCTTACATGCTGTGTATATCCGTGTTTTATGTCTTCTAGCCTTCCACTACGCTGTGATCTATGGCGAAACAAACTATGGTAACCGAAATCATATCCCAGTCATTGCTCTATGTGCCTATATTGGGCTTCGTTATATTTTTACATAAAGAATATTATATGCAGTATAATTTGTTTTGCTAACGGCGTTTGGTTTTGCAGCGAATCCCGGTGCGTTTGCGTGTAGGTTGTGACACGGTAAACATATCGGCGACAATTTGTTCCGTAAATTGACGTAACGTGAAAAAAAAAGTGCTGGTTAGGCAGAGGTTTAGAAGGGGCAAATCTCATCCACCGTAAGGCAAGTTTTCTTGGAGAGTTTCGCTTCAGACGACAGTGCCGTCATCGCTGCAGGCAGCGCAAGAGGTACGGGCCCGCTTGTAAAGAGTGAAACGACGTCGATGACGACGAGACTTCGGTCATCGTACATTTGGAGACCGGAGGTCAGCTAGATAAAATAGCCGGAGTTTTGCACACACGTGTTTGTCTTCCCCGTGAGTTTTGACAGCAACCGGTGATGGTACTTCGATAATGCGCGTAGCGGTGATGCAGTAAAATCCACTATTAAGCGAAGTGGAACGCTTGGCTTAGGGATTTTTGGGAGGCCGTCGAACGCACGTGTAATCCCGTTCCGTCAGATGACACTGAGGTAAAAGCATCAAGACTTCGGACGTTGACCGGAAATCAAAGATATTGTCTTGTTTAAAGTTGCTTGGATCTTGGTAGTCGGGTCTTTCGGCAGAGTCACGTACGCGCTTGTGGCAAGGAGTTTGTGGGCTTTGTCGTCGTAGTCAGTGCGGTTCATCATCACGTTCGCATTCCCCTTGTCGGCAAGCAGGATGATAATAATATTGTCTTTCTTCAGGTTCTTGATGGCTGCTTTCTCTTCCGTCGTGTAGTTTAGGTGTGCTCGTCGGTGTGCCCTGGAAAGTACACCGATAGCCTACAGGCGTGTTTCTTCAAGGATGCAGGGGTCCACATCACGCAGGCCACATTCAACAACTGTTGCCATTGAAGCAATAAGTGGTTTTGTGGTACTGAGGTTAGACTTTTTTCCCTTCGCCAAGACCCGAGTTTCACTGGCGGAAAGTGTTCTTGAGGAAAGATTTTTTACAGACCCTATGTCGGATTCCTCAGAATTGTTTAGACGCCCAAGAAGGGGAGAGAGCTTCCATCTGGTGGCCTGATTCCCTTCTTTCAAAAGATGAGATGGCAGTACATCTAGCAAACTTGTTGACGGCAGAAAAAACTTCAGGTGCGCAGTGTTCCAGTTGTCTGCTCAAGAAGAAAAGGCCCAAGTGTTTCCTCTTTGCCGTTTCTCAGCATTTTTAATTACTGCGTCAAGAAGAGGACGCTCGGCTTGTTCCATGATCCTGCGACCCTTGCCGGTGTGGGTTACCCGTTTCAGGCGTAGGCTCTTCGGAATCACCTGTAGTTCGTTCCTAGATTTGTTTTTAAAAGTGAAGTGTACTTTGACGGTTGGGACAGAGCTGGTGAGGTGAACAAATCGTTTGACAAGGCGAACGATATGTTCTAAAGACACAAAGAAACGACAACAACCGGTCAGCTGGGAAACTTGCTTCCAAAGCGCCTACGTACCTGGTTTACGATGACTCATGTGGGTTGCGTCGAGCGATACGTTATCAGCAACAAGCGCAAAGAAACAACGGCCTTTTTAAAAGACAACACCGGGTACTATCATAGCGACGAAAAAGCCAAAACACTCAACCGGGATCAAGGGTCCAAGCTGGCCTCAAATCTTCGGAATCTCTATTAATATTGGTCAAAGCCTTGCTTTTTTTTACATTTAAGTAATTGCTAACTTGGTGGATGTCCACCAAAATGTTTACTTTCATCCAGATTCCGCATGGGAGACATGCTCCCAGCTCGTATTATATATTTCTTCATCACAAGTATCCGCAACAAAGTCGCGTTCCTCGTGCAAACACAAACTTCCTAAAACCTCCTCATTTGTATTCACTACAAGCCACGCGCGTGAATGGGCAACCGAAATAAACTTGACCACCAACCACAAAATTTTACTGATATGGCCAAGCCAAAATAAAACGTATACAATATACTTCGTTTCACCTCAATCTCGAGCGCAGCCGACGCTAAGTGCCGGTAGTGCCATTCAAGTAGCTCTAAAAAAGCAAGACCGCCGCGACGTTCCAAATCTTTCTGCTCATGTGCTGTCATCAACGAGGACAGCCAAGCACATTGAAAGCGCTGTCACTTTGACTTTCAGTATATTTGCTTGTTTGTGTGTGTGCTCTAGCCTTTCAGGGACTTATAAATAAAACATTGTATATGTTGTGTTTTTCCTTAAAAGCGTTCGTGACTGTTTTGCTGATAGTTCCATCTTTCTTTAGTAAGAGACGGAGAGCTACGCATAGAAGCAGACACAAAAGGGGTCCCTGCGGGACCACACTAACTCTCCTTTTATTTATTGACCCTTTCACGCAGAATCGGGGCTACCAGGAATAACGGAAGCTACAAGGGATGCGCAATAAAGGACGGATATTTGACAGGCCCGCTTGACGACTCTACAAGCTTTCGCCTTTCTACGTGCGCTAAGGTAGCTGTTCGAAGGGTTTTTCTCAAGTAAGTTATTTTTCAGTTTTGTAGATCCGTGACCAATAAAAAGAGCAATATTTTATGTGTTTTTTTTAATAATAATGACAGAGGGTCATTTTCCATTAGTGTTTCTCTAATAAGAAAAACTAAGAAAAACCAGAACCTTTGAAGCCTGCTTTTTAACGTTCAACCGGGTGATACCGTGACCGCGAGACGTGCGCTCAAAGGGACAATGGCAGGGTATTTATGCTCGCCAAGGTTTTTATTCGTACAAAACATACGAGAGCCCAACTGCCCAAAATATAATTTGAGGCTCGAAATTAATTTTATTTCCGCCCGAAAACCGCCGATTGAGAACTTGCCGGTTCGAGTCGCGCTCACTCTCTTCTCAATGGTCACGTACAGTTTTCTATGGTTTAGACACAAATATAATCAAAGTCGTGAATCATCGAAGGCACAAACTCAATATTAAAAATAGAAAAGGACTATGGTACTATTTGTTTGTGGCTTCTAAAATGCTGCAAATACGTTGATTAAAAGAAAAGTTTCACGGCCACGTGACTTCGGCCAACAACCTCCTCCTTTATATCTATTCTTTCTCCCCTGTCGAATTTCGGTTTCGGCTTCGAGCAGTTGCGTTTTTGACTTTATTAAAAATATACGTTACGCTGTAGCAGAATACACTGCTGAAATAGTAACTCAAATATTGGATCAAAACAATGTTTTGTGCCGCTCCATTATCTCGGACGCGGTTTATCGTTTGCTAGTGCACGAGCGACGAAAGCTTCCATTTGAAATGCGTCAACATTCCACATTCCAGCTTCGACCTGCTCGTAAAACATGGTGGTGGCACGTTTGAGTGCGCCATGTCCACAAAAATACCGGAACTCGGAAGATACACTTGTGAGCTCTCGGGCTTTTACGTTGGGTAGGAAAGCCGGCGGTCCACGGGAAGACGTGCTGTCGGAGGATTGCAGTGTTCGCGAAACGCTGCTGGCGCTCCGCCGCGAAATCGTCGAACTCTCTGAAGAAGTACGGTTCCTGAGACGTGAAAACGAGTCTCTGCGAGTTGAACTGGTACGAAACAGTGAGCTTCTTCAAAAATGCTTTTCTACGGACGCGCCGATGGCCGGAGACTCCTTGTCTCCGACCAGCCATACGTTTCGCCGGCCTGGTGCAACTGCTCGAGCAGCTGGAGCCCCTCCAACCAACGAGCGACGACAGGGACAGCTAAATGGAAGTCTTAAATCGCATGATGTCAACGAAGACAGGCCAGCGCACCCAAGGCCACGACCGCAGCCGTTAATCGGTTCTGACCGCAACAGTAAGTTGCGTGCCGCACTCCGGCCTCCTGTCCGTCCGTAAGGCAATATTCGTGTCGCGCATACACCCGTTCACATCCTCAGACGATGTGTTGGCTCTTGTTCTCGAAGTGCTCGGTGACAAAATGTTTGTTAGCACAAAATTTCCAATTAAGTATGATACCTACTTTTCGTTTCATGTGTATGTCGAAGGTTCAGAACTCGAAAAGTTTTCAAGCTGACGATTGGCCGGAAAGAAACCTAGTAAGACCCCATTTTGGCCCCCTTAGGACGGGGCAATGCTGCTGCTGATGAAGCCTCGTCCGAGGTATACCGACATGCAAGATCTTTAGATTTGCCAGCTTAAATGCGATAAGTATCGTAAACGTCGTAAACTGTACAGCTAACACGAAACTTCGAGTAATTAACATTAACCTGAATGCAAAGAGCATAGTAAACAAAACGATCGACCTGGAAAGCATTCTCCTTTCCTTCAATCGAGAGGCATTGTTGATAACCGAAAATTGGTTAAGTGATAGTATTCCTGATTGTGAAACCGTTCCCCCCAACGCACGAAATGATAGTTATAAAATCAGGAATTGAATTTTCTTTTCTGCGTAATACCACAGGCACTGAATCAGTGTGAGTGATATTATCTTTTATAATTTCCTCTATGATGTACTGAACGACTTACACGATTTTGCGCATGTACATGCCAATATGCAATAAAAATATACTTTGAGGAGGTGACCTTAATCTTCGAAACGTAGACTGGGCTACAATTACCTCAATGTCATGATGTTGTTATTTCAAACTTTTGATAGATTTGGCTTTTTGGAACAGTCCTATCTAGATTGTGACGACGCTCGCAAGAGTTACAAAAACGACCACTTCCCTCCTTGATTTATAATTTGTTTATAATAATATTTGTGTTGAAGACTATCACTGTGCAGTTGTAGATGGAATATCAGATCACCGCATCATCGCGTTAGACTGTCCTGGCTTTGTTCCCAATGGACCATATGATACGGTAAAGAAATGAAAAGATTATAACAGAGCCGTAGACGAAGGCATTTCAAATTTTCTTGACTTTGTTAATGTTTTCGACAAGGGGGGCCAGGTGGGTGTTATCCTTTTAGATTTGGCAAAAGCCTTCGATCGAGTACAACATCATAAGTTGTTGACAAAACTTAAAATTCTGCTCAGAAATGAGAGACTCCTGCGGTGGTTGGACTCATACTTAATCGGCGGTGTAATTTCCCCTACTGTCCTGGTAACTTCTGGAGAATCCCAAGGATCTGTGCTCAGACCTTGGCATTTTTTAGTTAATATAAACGATCTTACTGAAGATAATAGCATACAATGTCGGTTTTAAGCGGACGGCTACGTGCTGCTTTCAAAAATAGGTTTGAGAAGCGATCAGTTAAAGGTAATTGTTTAAGCAGTATAACGCAATAGTGTACGAATTGGCAAATGTCACTAAACAATCATAAGTGTGTATAAATGTGAGCCACACGCACAGTAAAACTCCCCTCGATTTTAGATACGCCCTCAACAACGCTACCTTAGCAACTATAAATGAATACGAATACCTCTGTGTTATAATCACGTCAGAACTCAGCTGGAATGGTCATGTAGCATGGCGTGTGCAGAAAGTAATTGCGAAACTTTGGTTCTTAAAAACAAAAACTTAGATATTGCTATATTTTTGTGCCACAATTCTGGGAAGCAAGAACGCGTACTTTTACGTCTGGGGACCGGTGCTCAAAGGGGAATCCGATGCCCGTCCCACCGCGCCGTCGACGGCTACCAGAAAGGGCGGTCGCCGCGCCGGGTTCGTCCAACGCCATGCCAACAACGACAATGATCCCGGTATCTAACAGCTTTTGTTGAGAACCAGGGGTCCCCAACGACACACTGCGGTCAAGCGAGCCATGGACGCAGTGTGGCCGCAGCGCCCGCCGACCTGAGAGCAAAAGGGGTAATTGCGAGCGGAGTCACCGCCTGTGGGCCGAGCTCACGCCGCTACCTGTCGTTGCAGGAGGTCGGGCGAAGGCTCTCGGCAGCCGGGTGCCCACTAGGAGGAGAAGACGCCGACTGTCAGAACCAGGGGAACCGCTCGCGTTGAGTCATCGCCGGTCGGACGAGCTCACACCGCGACTCGACCCGTTGCCCGGAGTTCAATCCAGGACTCCTTGACCAAACGGCTGTTCTCGCAGAGGAGGGCAGGCCCGACGGTTTAAAGCAATCTTGCGGGTTCTACGAAAACGGGAGACGCGCGGAGGAGGGCTAGAGGGTAGGCCAACAAGGTGGCGTACTCTCCCCGACATGATATGGAGCGACCAGGCTCGAAGCCAGATGCCTTCGCCCGGAACATCCGCGGCTTGCGTCTTCTCGGGGGAGGGAAACCAGTTGATCCCAAACAATTCAACTTTGCTGACTGTAAGCGCCGTCGATTCATCATGTATTCTCATGAATTCAATATACCTTATTCATATTCGTGGCGCCATCTATCGAAAATATTCGATAGATAGGAGGCAACTTGGAATGTGATCCATCTAGATCGGAATGACGCATCAACTTACTGAAATCGTTCGTCGTCAATCTGAGCGCCTCTGATGCAGCACTAGCATTCGGATTCTAAAATTTGCTGATTTGCACAAATTTCTTATAGGAATTTCCTTCAAAAATTGTAATACAGCGCGCAAAAGACAAGAATATGTTGTAAAGGAAGAACACAGGACAAGCTCTAACTCTCAACTGAAACATTTGATGAAAAGAATACACAACAATAACAGTAGCAAAAACAAAAACACACCACACGCTCTCGGTCAATCAACAAGTGTCAAGGAAGGCAATTTCCTTCCAATGTAAATGGAGCGATGTTTGCCTGACACATCGCTCCTTTCCTTCTTTTTTGAAGGCGTAAGCTTCCAGAATCTCTTTGATGGGGGATTTTTTGATGGCGTAAGCTTCCAGAACCAATAAAATTGCTATAAGAATGTCAAAAAATGAATCACCAAGCAGAACAAAAAAAACGAAAATTCGGCAGAGACATTTAGGATTGCTTACCTGTAGGAATGCGAAAGCATTCCTACAAGCAGCGAGTCGCGTCTTCCTTTTTCACACAGCCCTCTGGTGGTGTTATTACGCCCCCCCCACTGCGCAGGCGCGGCGAACCCCGCCGGCTTCCATGACGAAGCATCTGCGTTGCTGTGTTTTTCTTTGTGTTTTATTTCTGAGGCGCGTCCGCTTTGATCTCGAGCGCCCCCGCCGCCTTCCATGACGAAGCACCTGCATAGCTGTCGTTTCGCTCAGTCAATGGAAATTTAGGTGCCGTTTCGCTCATCCAATGGGAATTTAGGTACCGTTTTTTGTTGCTACAGACGACGTCTAGAGACAACACCGGCTTCGCTCTATGGGACAGCTAATGCTTCCGCGTTAAAATTGGATTATTATAAACATGGAGGTAGGAATAAGAGGAGGCGGTATACCCGCTGAAGTCGGCTAAAAAACAAAATCCCAAGTGAAACCGGAAGTAGAGGTCGTTCTTCGGTGGGAACACCCCCAGTGTGCCCAAGTCCGCCCAATTGCGTCTCTTGGTTTCGGTCATCGTTGGGGGCCTCCAAACCCAAAGTCTCAAACGGCTTCACCTATGGTGGTGTCATGTCACGTACGGAAGTTTCCTGCCTTCACGATTATAAGCCACGTCCCGCGTATCCTCAGATCTCAGTAGCTATATGGAAGTCGAAGTGAACATGGCGAAGGACCATTTTATGCTCGATATTTATTTCAGGGCATCCTTCAGATCGATGAAACCTTACTTAGTTCAGTTGTGATTGCGAATTGTATGCCTGCTAGGTTAATATTATTAAAGAGGTGAGTGCGCAGAGGAAGCTAACCTATTCGGGCAGAAACTGAGAGAGAGAAGAAGAGATGAGAGCGCTCGAGGAGCTCACAACACCGGGCTCTGGATAAAATGATTAGTGAATAGGACGTCAATCTAGCCGCGTTTGACTCCCACTGCACTGGTGCAACGCGTTAGAACGTGAAATGCCGGCCTCCGCCGTTTGGCGTTCGCGATCAAACACGTTTGAACTGTACAGATGAGACAAACGTTTCCTTGGTAGCCGTTGCGTTCGTGGAACGCGCTAGAACGCGGAACTTCGGCGTCAAGCTTTGGGCTTTAGCGTTGAAACACGTTCGAACACTGCAGTGGAGGCAAAGGCAGCTAGCTAGCTTTGCGTTTATCCACTAGCCATTCCAATCAGAGCTCGGTGTTCTGGCTTTCTCTCATGCTCTTTTCCCCTCCTCTTCCTCTGTTTCTGCCCGCATAAACAGCTTGACAAAAATTCAGGCTCGGGCTTGAGATTATTGCAGGCGGCAGACAATTACAAAAATTATAAAACAAAAACAAGCTAAAAAAAGGGGCAATATGAAGGCCACCATTCAAAATACATGATGATTACAACTGATCAAAATAAAATCAGTAGTTCGCAATTTATCGGGAAATATCTTAATTTAAGCAGAAACAATTTCAGTGGTAAATACATTTCAAGAAATGGGCAGATAAGTGCTCGATAACGATCTTATCCTTGATTTAATTCTCTGGAGAAGGGTGACGGTGTTATACCATTGATTTACATAGCTGCTTTGAGTGGGAATATTTTCGAAATTTTGCCGTGACACTGAAATAGACGGTCTCTGAACGCTGGCAATGGATGTTTTTTTTTCCCGTAAACACTGCAACGAGTAGATGAATATATCAGATGCCATTACCGAGCGGAGAAGAATATCTTTGAAATATTCCATATTTTTGTTATGGTATTAAATTTCAGTAACTTTAGGCATAACTGCTGGAATGATACGCCAACACCGATAATGCACAATAACTGGACAGTCCCAAGCAAGTACTTTGAAGACTCTCTAAAGAAAGGGGAAGTCGATTTATGCACTGCTCATCTATTTTATCTTTCCTTCATTGTATCGTGCGAGGTGAGTGTCAGTTCTTCCCTTTATATTTGAAGTGTAGGCTATGTGACCTTTCCATTTTAATTAAAAAAAAATTTCAATGCGGAAAAGTTGTTGCGGTACATTTTTCGACGTATTTGTAGTCGAATGCGGACATCGACTTTATTTTTCACTGCAGTCAGGGTCACGCTGCTTATACATCACACAAAAAACAGTCTGAATAGAGATTCGAACTCTAGTAATCGTGAGATCCGAGCTTCGAATGCCGCATGGTAATGAGTTCAAGAAGAACACTTGACGCGCGGAATTCGAACCACAGATATTGCGGTCACTCGTGTTTGCAGACTGTCGTTTGTCTGATGTATGAGCAGTATGCCCCCGGCTTAAGGCCACGGTAAACTATGATACTTGATGCGCAATCTTAAGTTGCACTCCTTTGATATCAAATCACTGCTTGCAAAACCTTGGTTGATTTTGTTTTTGAATATGTCTCCAAGGTAGGGGACTCCGATACGACTGTGTGTATTGAAAAATTGAGAACGCAGGAAATATGCACTGCGATTCACACGCAAAAAATGCAAAAGAGCACGACTCTGTTAAGCCACTCTATACAATAAAGTCGACTTCAGCTTCTATGTACTATATACTCATTACAGAACATCAATCTTAGCATTGATTCTACAAGGTATTTAGTCTAGAGAGCGGGACCAGACAGTGTCAGCTGGGCCGGATGCGCAAAGTTCCGCGGCAGTCTTTATTCACGACTTATATACAAAACGTAACAGTGAGGCGGCGCCCTCTATGATTGTGTGTTAGAATCTTGTTAGTCCTGTTAAAGGGCAACTCCGCTCAATTCCGAAAGATTTGGGCTTACATGTGATTCTATTTCTACGTCTTCTACGTCTTCGTCTAGGTCTACGTCTTTGGATTCGCGAAAGGGGGACTATTATTTCTGTAATCTTTTTTAAACATCAGGAGATACCGAAACCGAAACTTTGGTTGCCTCAGGCACCATTGGTCTCGTGTCGTCAGAGGCATGGCAAAGTCACGTCGGACCACGTGGTCTTGTGACGTTCGGGGCGGCGAGGTACAAGATACGTGACGCGGGCAGGTTACTTCGGATTGTGTGAACGGTGATGGCCCGGGGGAGAGGGGGAAGGGAAGAAGACGAAAGAAGACAAGGGGAGCGGAGAAACCGGACATGGGGAACAAGTTGGGAGTGGGACTGGTCGGGGGAAGCGAGTCCGAGCGGGAAGACGTGCCGAGAAAGGTGCCAGGGAGCGCGCTGGAGAGAGCGCGGGAAACAACACACCAGAAAAAAAACAACGGGAAGGCCACCCGCTGACGTCAGCGCCCCAGGCCCCCGAGCCCTGAGAAGCCCGGATCGCCTCAACCTCAAGGATATTCGCTAGCGTCAACGCTCCAAACCCCAGAGCCTTGTGAGCCGGACCAGAGAAACAAAACGGTTACCCGCTGGCGTCAGCACCCCAAGCCCCCGAACCCTCAGAGCCCCGAGAAACCCGGGTCGCCTCAATCGCTAGGCCACCCAATAGCGTTCCTCCAAGCCCCTGAACCCTGTGAGCCCCGGAGCCAACTCGCCCAGGCACCGGCACACTGACGGACAGCCCGGGTGACCACCCCTTCAGATCGCCACGACGGTCGGTGAGCTGCGGGCAGCACCAGCACCGACTCCTGTTATTATTCAACAGTAAATGTCATTTTCGCCTCATCCCTCCTCACCTCAGCGTGGGCCCACCACAGCGCGTCTGTGCCTCCCCTACGGGGGCTGTCACAGTCTCAAAGGTCACGCGATCCTCTATGCGACGGCGGGCGAACGTAGAGCAAAGTGGAAGTGTCGTCTGCTCCGCAGTTCTTGCCCATGTAGTTTGCTACAACAGCGTGTGGAAGCTTGTTAAAGACAACTCCCGGGCTGGTCAACCGATAATTGTAGCAGGCAGCGACAGAACATCGTGAGCCTATGGATCTTCCGACATTCATCGCAGCTAGGTATTGGAGATTCTGCCCGCGCTTGTATCGTAGACAAAACGTCCTTCTCAAGTCAGAGCAGCGGCGAGACGAAACAGACCAACAGACTGCTCCCAGCTCTGAGCTCCGATAAGCACGCAGGGCAGCGCAAACTAGCGCATCCATGTTACGGCGATCACGTGGACGCCGTTCAGCCAACACCGGGAGGAGAAATTCATGACGTCATCGTTCAATTTTGCTCTGAGCAGTAAAAACAAACAAAACGTGAGAACAACGTAGTCATGCTGCTGACGTAGTGGCTCAATGTTGGCTGCTCCAACTCCGTGGCGTTGACTGCGCTGATGATTGCGCCACACGTCGCACGCTAGAGTTGGCAGATTTCGACGACTTGGCTGACTTGAAGGTTTGCTGGCCAGTTTATTAAATATATAGACGGAATTAGACCGTAAAATTTGACATTTAGTCTTCCTACACGATACTGAAGAGGGCTGCATAGTTTTCTAAATATCAAAAATGAAGCGGAGTTTCCCTTTAAGAGTGACACCTGCCGGTAACAAACAACACTACATGTAGCACCACGAGTGGTGTCAACGACGCGAAGTTCACATGATAGGGTGCTGGTTCCATATCATTGTCGCGCTCACTTTTGTTTAGCTTTTTTTCCCTAAGTGAACGATGGAAAAGTCTTTTAGAAAGGTATGTCAATTTGTATGCACCTAAAAACTGAGGGAGAGGAGGAGGCGACAGCGCGCGGGTACGTCGATAAGCCGAGCTGTGGTTGAAATGAATAGTGGGCAGACCAAAAGCTAGCTGCCTTTGTCTCTACGGCACTCGTCGAACGCTTCAGAACGTGGAACTCCGGCGTCCGGCGTTTGACTCGCATGCATAAAGTAGATGCTACCTACTTTATTTATTATTACCAACGTCTCTGCCTTATAGTTATCTGTTGTCTCGTACATTTTCTTTTTCGTGGTTTGTTTTTTGTCGTTCTTATCAGCTAATGTCAATATCTCATCGGCGGGAGTGATGATAAGATACTCTGGACTGCTCAAACCCTGCGTGGTTTAAGCTATGAGTGACTATATGTATCGTACAGTGCTAATCACACTTGTCTATAACGCGCGAGCGTGCGACTTTCTCCGAGGAGCGCTAGACTGGTGGCATTCGCGGAAACTAAGCTAGTCACGTGGCGCAACATGGAACGGCCCGCTCGAGGGGTGTCCTGCCCACTCTATCAGCTTGATAAGCGATAAAAGTAAAGTGTTTTATGATATATTTTTGTTTTTTCATGACGACATCGTTGATACGCCTTCATGCTTCAGTTTGTTTATTGTTCGAGCAATGATGTTTGTAAAAACTGTGAGAGCAGCCTTCCGCGTTCCCCGCCAGCTGATAGAGTGGGCAGGACACCCCGCGAGCGGGCCGTTCCATGTTGCGCCACGTGACTAGCTTAGTTTCCGGGAATACCACCAGTCTAGCGCCCCCCGGAGAAAGCCGCACGCTCGCGCGTTATAGACAAGTGTGATTAGCACTGTACCTTCCTCAGTGGTCAGTTCACATCAATCCCATCATTAAATAAACGTATCAATAGATAATGGATGAATGGATGGATGGATGGATGCGGCTGAGCTCTTCGAATCACGCGGGGACATGCGCTACTCAGCCAGTGTTTTGTATTTTCCTTGACATTTATTTAATATGGAGTTACACATCCAAAGATTTATTCTCAAAACCTCTATGCGACCCGTACGATGGACGAGTCTCTCTGCAGAGTGGCGTCCGTTACTTAAAAAAATAATTACAGTTACAATTACTTGGCCCAAAAAGTAATGAATTACCTTTACAAATTACTCCACGTAAAAAGTAATTGATTAAATACTTCGTTTACTCGATTGCTTTTGCGTTACTCCAAAGAGGCACGAAAAAAAGTGAAAGCCGTTTATAACTCCCTGTAACGCCGAATTAGAGCGCAGCTCTTGAGGAAGAGGAGGGCCTCCAAATACGTGCTTAGTGTTTCTGACAGCTTATTTCTTACCCTAACCGACGAAGAGGAAGTATTCTCAGCGTTTCAAAATTAAAAAAAAAAAATCACTAAAAGCTTTGATATTACGACCTTCAAATAAAACAAATTACACATGTATTGCGGGCGATTTTACTTTATTTAAGCGCTTATTCAATTTAGCACTGAAGTATGGTACGTTTCCAAAAAAAAAAGCAGATAGCAAAGGTGACTGTAATATATAAAACCGGTGATAAGAATGGTTTAGAAACTTTTTGACCTATTTCGGTTTTACCCATATTTTCCAAGGGATTAGAAAAAATCATACATCAAAAACTTAATAATTTTTGTGAGAAATTTTCAATCATTACGCCCTCTCAATATGGATTTATGAAAGGTCGCTTGACTGAGATTGCACTTTTAAAACAAAAATAACTACTCTTAGGCAACATCGAAGCGAAGCTGGTAACACTCGGCATATTCATTGATTTCTCAAAAACCTTTAACCGCATAAATGATGAAACGTTACTTACGAAACTGCTTCTTTATGGTGTTCCTGGGGTCGCCTTACAAATGATTAAAAGTTTTTTTTCAAAACCGCCATCACTGTGTTGAAATAAATAAAAGAAACGATCAAATTTCAGACCACTAACCGCCAGTGTACTACAGGGCAGTATTTTGGGGCCACTCCTTTTCAACTTGTATATTAATGACCTAGTAAGCATTGATGGTAATGTGAACTACATTATTTATGCGGACGATACGAGTATATTTTTTTCCGGTGTTAACATAGATAAAATTATAAGCAATGCAAACCATTATCTTTATCAATTAAATGCTTGGGCATTATCAAACTCCCTGCAAATAAACGTAAGGAAAACAAAGGCCGTGGCATTTAGATCTCGAAATATAAATTGCAGTCCTAGGTCTGCACTTTTTCTTGGTACAGGCACTATTGATATAGTTGAGAGTGTGGAAGTCTTGGGGGTAATTTTTAATCCGTACATGACTTGGAACGATATGGTGCAATACACATGTAAAATCTATCGAAGGCTGTGGGTTTAATATACAGATATCGCCACATTATTCCTAGTTCGGCCATGATACTTGTTTACAACTCTATTTTTACGCTCAATATAACTATTGCTTTTTGGTATGGGGAAATACGACCTTAACTAATATCAATCAAATGCATATTTTTCAGAAGAGAGTGATTCGTATGATACATCATACTAGCGATGACAGTCATACGAAACCATTGTTTACAAAATTCAATATTGTGCAAATTACCAGTCACTATAGTTACAAATTAGCCCTTGCTTATAAAAATTCGTTTTGTACCAACAGTTTACTTTTATCGATCTCAAATCTTCAGTTCAAGGAAACGCTCTACAACACTCGTTCTGAAGATGCGTGGGCAGTACCGCACTCCAGGACCAATTACGGCAATCAAATGCTGAGATATACACTACCGCGCCTTTTAAATTGTTGCATTGAATTGAATATAAATATTTTGAGTGGAACTCGGAAGGATGTACTTCCTGATTTTGTTAATGATTTTCTTAAATACGTTCCTGAATTGTTAAAGCATGAATCGATTGTACGATTTAGCTCACTTATTTTCTTTTTATTAGTGTAGACATTGTGAATTTGTATGAATCTGTGTACGTGTATATATATATTTTTTTTCTCTGCTGCTGTAAAGGGGGGGGGGGGGGGGGCAGAGGCTCGTCAAGCAACACTGAGTTGCTTTTTTCTCTGCCTCCCCTCTCCAAACGGAGAGAAATAAAGACTTTTGACTTGACTTAAAGGGTACTGAGGGGAGGCTATACACCTCCTATTTATCCTCTTCCTCCCCTAATTCTTCAATCTTCTCCGGGTTGGGGTCTCCTGACCTCAGGGGGGGGGGGGGGAGGTCACGTGACTTCGGGGGAAGGGGGTCACGTGACATCAGGGGGTCATGTGACCTCGTGGGAGGGGGTCACGTGACCTCGGGAGGGGGGTCACGTGACCCCCTCTCCCCGAGGTCACCGAAGGTACCCGAGGTCCTCCCGAAGGAACCCGAGGTTTTCCCGAGGTCCTCCCGAAATAACCCGAGGTCCTCCTGAGGTCCTGAAGGAACCCGAGGTCCTCCCGAGGTCCTTCCGAAGGAACCCGAGGTCCTCCCGAGGACCTCCCGAAGGAACCCGAAGTCCTCCCGAGGTCTTCCCGATGGAACCCCAGGTCCTTCGGGAGGACGTCGGGTTCCTTCGGGAAAATTTACCCATAATACACCGCGCGGTTACGCCGACAGCGACGGCGACGCCGACGGTGACGGCGACGCCACTTAAGCCGGAAATGGGCGCCTAAGAGCTGCGCTCTAAAACACACTATGCACTGCGTGTTTGATATAGAAACGTTTGGGCCCAATCAAAATTAAAACCAAAATAAACACATTCATTACTTTCTACCCAATATTTTAGGTTAATACTTTTAGGAGAACGAATCTATATAGTTTAAAGGACTTAAGCACGTGCTCAAAATGAACGAGTCTTGCGCTGTCCAACCGGGACAGAACTAAATCCCATGAACATGCGACGGTGCTCTTGGGCTGTGGAGGCGACCGCAACATTCGAATCAATCCAAATTTGGCGTCGGCGATCTTCAAAACACGATTCTCTTTAAGACGTGGTTTTTCTATGCTTGCTGTATGTTGCCTAAATAGGGGCTTGTTTACCTACTGAAACTGACTGGCTGTGAGACCAAGATGCGGTACTTGCGTATGGGTACATTTCAAAGATTCCCGCTTGATGAAAATTGTTTTCCGACCAAATGACCCACTTCACCTTCTTTCTTGAGCACCAAACTTATCAGAATCAAGACGTCACACGAAATATTAATGCACAATGTCTCAGCTAAACTAATTTTTCAATTTAGAAATTATAAAAAAAAACAAAAAACAATTTTCAGTGATTAGCACGCCTCCATGTCGTTAACGCCGTTTACAGGCAGCTTCTCAACTCGTCACTGTTTACTCCCAGAAACCTCAGGCCCTGTTTCCTTTCCCTAAAAGTTTGGTCCAAGTTCCGGCAGGCGCAATCGCTAAGGATAACCCCAGCATTCTCGTTTCTAAGAATATCGGTTCAGCTTCGAAGTCCAAGGTCGTTTTGGCTATGCTCCCCGGCCAGCTTGTTGCCTGCTGTTTAAACTGACAGCAAGTTTGATGCTACATTTTTCGCTCCAATGAACTGCTCCCATCGCACCCCTCGTATTTCTGCTTTACGCATCCGCTAGTGCGAAGTGACAGAAGCCATATAGCTGGTCGGTCCAGCCAGTATTTTTCACAGCGCTGTCAATGATGAGCATGGACGAGGTCTCATTAGAGCATTTTATGTATTTGCGGGGTGGGCGTGTGTATCGGCAGAAACATCGGCAAGGAAAAAATGGTTTCGTGTGACAAAAAAAAATGTTGTCGGGTGGGGGGGACAAGGCGCGGAGGGGGAGGGGGTTGAGGAAGAAGGGTAGAAGGGGGGGGGGGGGAGAGCGGACATATGCACCGCGGTCATTGTGTCCATGGTCCCGCTCGACACGAACCCCACGCGACGGTTTTATGGTCCATTATTTTTCTGCTCTTTTGTACGCTCGAAGCAGTCCATTCGTTTTCCAACAAGGCGAAGCCTGTTGCCTTCATGTAGGCAGTCAAATCCTCCCATCCTGGCTGACCGCACGAACGAGTTCAGAAACGGGCTCTGGCTGGGCTGTCGTGCTTTCCGTGAACTCCTTCCCTTTCCCTCGCCAGTTCCTCACCAGCGTATTTTTTTTTTCTCGTCTCCCTCTCACGAGAGTCTTGTGTTACGATGCTAAAAGCACGATGGCCGTTGCATCGCCCTTCATTCACTCTCTTTCTCCCTTTGATGGCACGGAAAATTGTAACGAGTAATTCCAGTAATTCGTTACTGCAAAAGTAATCACATTACATTACAAATCACATTTTCAAAAAGTAACGGATTAATTACTAAATTACTAGAAAAGTAATTAATTACAAGTAATGGCGTTACTTGTAATGGATTACTTCCAAGTCTTCCTCTATGCAACCGAGTGACCGCACCTTCCACCTTATATCTCGTCCGGAAGGGAGGGAATAAGAAAATATTCATCCTTCCCTCGACCTACGCCACCAGTCAGATTATCTCTTCTTGGTTATTACAACCTTCCCCATGTCTATTTTCCCTCACTATCCCTAAATCCCTGTGAGTTTGATAAATTAGTCGCCTCTTCACCTTCTACAGGGTGAAGCCCCTTGCAGTTAAGTATCAAGTGCCCAGCCGTCTCCTCTTCCTCTCCACAAGCTACACACACCGTATCTGCTTCTTACGATATGCGAAATGAACAGCGCCATCTAGTGAGGCGGCGAAGAATATGCTTCGCCTCACAAGTTGGCTCAGGCACTGGCAAAGGCAAGGGCGCGAAGGTATAGTCCTGAAGAATATTTCGTTTGCACAAGTACGCACAGAGAAAGACTTTCGAAAACCAGGCGCCCTTGCCTTTGCCGACACTCAAACCCAAAATTTGAGCTGAAGTGTAGGCCCGCCATGCTGGTTGCGGAGAGAAACCGTCAACTGGCGTGGCAAAGAGCATGTACATGCGCAAGGAAGAGCTTAAAACAATTCTAAACCTAAGCTCGCAGGTGTGAGTGAGGATTATTGGCGGTGAGCTGTAGGCCTTGATTGTTATCGAAAACGCAAAGAAACTTACCAACAGCAGAGGAATCTTGACCTAACAAAAATGGCAACGCAGAGTTTTGCCAGACGTTCAAGTAATTTCGCATATGGTCCATTCTTGTTCACGAAAGCACCGTAATAATATCAAGACTTAAGCCGGGTGGAAAATTTTACTTGATGTCTTCATGCAGGCCTCAGATGGTCATCGAAAGAATTTTTTTCTAGCTTAGAAACGAAAATATTTAGGCAAAGTCATAAAGGAGGGCCAATTTTTGATCTTCACAACATTTATTAACGTATCTAGAAAAGCACAACATTTCAATGTGAACAGCATGTTTTTCTGCGTGTTGCAGCGCCGAGGGTTCCAAAAGAAGGTGAACCTTTTTACAAGTGATATGAAAAATGTACTTAAGTCACTGTTACAGTTAATGAACTTATATCGCCACTTGAAAAGTATTTAATACTTTGTTTTGTACCAAATTACCTTTTTTTAATGCTCTTTAATTCTGAATTTCTGATCTTATCTCGTATTTTGAAATTCTGAAACTTTGAGAAAAGAAGATCTAGAGGGCGTTTTTTTGTGGTATATTACTATGCATTAATGAAAACCACCTTACCCACTGGTCGGGGGTTAATTATTACTGGCCTCGCATCGTACATAAGCGCAGGGCGAGAGCTGATATTTCCCGTCTATTTTTACAGAATTATAGCTCTCACCGAAGGTCCCGAAGCTGTAGGGTGTCTTGCTGCGACAAAGACACTCATGAGTTTACTGATTACGTAAAGGAACTCGACGGAAGAGCTTGTAGATACCTCATGAGTAAAAATAAGGTAGCTACCTTTTATCCATCTTTTTACGCAATCTATTCTGCCAAACCAGTTATTCTGTTCGTTGCCACCAGTATCTTTCCAACAGTAGACGAACACACCACGCTTTTCACGTTTCGTCGTCTCTCCCTCTCCGGTTTGTTTTCCTCCTTACTCTCTATTCCAAGTTGAGAGGGAAGGAGAGCGCCAGGGAGCACGGGGCTGAGCGGAGCGGAGCATTAGTAGGTAGTGTAAAATTGAGGGAAAAAGACGGTAAAGGAATTCAAGGTGTCGCGATATATACTATAAATAAAAAAAAAAAGCGAGAAAAGTCTACACATCGTTGTTTTTCAAGTATTTCTTTTTTGTACTAGAGCAGGGGTCTCAAACACACGGCCCGCGGGCCGCATGCGGCCCGCGACTTTCTGGGATGTGGCCCACGAGTATCCCGCGGCTGCGAAGCCCCCGTTCCCATGCCTCGAGCGCCACATCCGCCATAAAGAGGGGTTTTATATTTTCGATTAATTTCCGCTTGAAAAGAAGCTCTGCTCTGCTCACGGATTTTGCACTATTCTGTTTTCCTTTGGACGAAGTACTGTTTCGTCTAAATACATGTTCTCAGCTTTTTCTCGTGTAATTCAACCGGAAGGGCAATATCACTACTAGAATATACGATTGCGAGCTCTTTCCTCAAGGAGGCACCCCAGCTGCACGAACTCTTGCTCACCAGAAGCACCGGCCAAAGATCAAGCTATAAGCTCGGGCTTCTAGCTGTCAGACAATACCTTCAAAATGAAAGTATTTTCTTATAATGCAGCTATAAAAGTCGTCTGGAAAGCAAAAACTGCCGTATGAAGAGATAATTTTTCTCTGCCTGTTGAACCTATTGAATTGTGCGACAGGGTAATGATGGTGTGCTTTCTCTCGTTCTATTGGAAAACTACGAGTACTATAGTATAGTGCTCTTTTAAACCTTTTTATAACATCAGGTGTGGGCCCAAAGTAATCGTATATGCAAATAAAAGTTAACGGGAGCAAAAGGATGAGCTTATCAAAAACAGAAAGCACAATATTCCTTCTAATCTAAAAAAATTCTGGGGTGTGGCTGGGATTGACGGCTGCTTTGCAACGCAAAACACCAACGCTGTTTTTCTTTTTTTTGTTCCGAAATTTCAGGAACCCCCCCCCCCTCTCGTTGGCCCTCATCCTTTCGGGGGTGGGCTATCTGGTCCCCACACTCCAATGAGTATGAGACCCCTGTACTAGAGGCTTTAACTTACTCAGAGGGGAAAATATTTATTGAGGCTTTACGTCGCAAAGCAGCTGAGGCTATGACCTATGCTGGAGATACTTTACGGAAAGGAACAACCTTGGATTCGAAACCTAGCTACTCTTTGTGCTCCGGTAGTTGAAACGGAACCTTATGGATTTCATGGAGTTAGTGACTGGCACGAAAAATGACAAACGTGCACACGATATCTTCAACGCGCTTTACATTTCTATTTTGAACCGATAATTTTAAATATTGTGATGACCACCCTCCCTAACGTACCCAAAATACGCTATGACGAGTTGCTTTCAATAAAGCGACGGGTCCGTATTTTAGGCACTGTATTTGCGATAATAGGTTCTGATCCCATACCCTGTAAAACACACTTTCAATCTACAAAGAATCTTTTTTTACGACTAGTGGAATTTTCTAAACCTAATTGTCATGCTTTAAGCAAATACATTGAGTTTCGTATAGGCTACTTCCTCCGACAACTGCTGAAATGTGATGTAGTTTTTCTGACAGCCCCTTTTAAATGAGTGTTTAGTAGAAAAATAAAGAAGAAAAAAAAACGGTGGATGTAGAAACGGCACTAGGAATGTTTTTTCTTTATATAAGATTCCATTGAACGATTACACCTCAAAGTGCATCTTAATCACGTTTTTATTTATAGTTTAAAAGCTGTATCTTATGTGATAAACCACGGTACCTTGACACACGGATGCAGGGATTTTTGCTTGAGCGTGTTAAATATGCCTGACGCACTCCAAAACTAAATATGATGCAGTTTCAGCCACGAGAATTACAAATGGCCCTGTAATTTAGAGTCCAGTGTCTCATATTTTTGGGCAGGGAAGAATGAAAAACCATTATCGGCTTTTTTTTTTATACGCTTTTTGTGGGTCGTTTTTTGACTGCTAGACCTAACACAAGGAAAGCGACGGGAGAGAGAGTTGCGAAAAGGAGAGAGACACGCGAAAGAGGAGATACTAAATACTAAACATAGGATTTATAACCAGAGGTCAGCAGGTCACTTTTAGATTGGGGCACTGCCCTTAGCAAAAACTAATACGTTTGAAATATACCACATTCTAATTTGAGTGTATTTGAAATACAGTTCATAATTGTAAGTACACGAAAAATAGACCGAAAATATAAACTTTTTTTTTACTTAGTACTAAAATATACTTCTAAAAATCATTTTAAAATGCCTTTACTTCAACTACATTTGAAGTTCTCTTCATGCGTTTTGAAATATGTAAATACTAAATTAATAGGCACAAAACACCTTTCATATATATTTCTTGAAATATTTATTTGATTCATGCGAAATAGACTCCAACCCTAAAAAAATGGAGCAATCAAAAATACGTGCAGAATACTCTTAAAATACCTGAAAATCGTAAATACTGTTGTTATCCCTTACAGAAATGTCATATCTGTACTTATATTAAAAAATACAGATATGGATATATAAGGAATTGGGCAGATATGGCGAGATATGGATAGTCAAGCCATATCTGGACTGATAAAGCCATATCTGCCCAATTCCTCATATGCCCATATCTGCCCAATTCCTCATATACCCATATCTGCTTTATATGATCCCGTGTTTGGGCCTGGCAAATAGGGTATCCACCCCATATAAAGCACTTTTCATGCGATGCTCCTTCTAGAATCAGGTGAAAATTATTTTCATGGGGCAGGTACCCTATTTTCCAGGTCCAGACATGGAATCATATAATGCATTTCTATGAATATCCCCATAATTTGCATTTTACTGCTATCCCACACTGCCAAACGTGTGTTTACGTATAGATATATCTACAGAATAGGCCAGTGACCAATCCTTATTGGTCTGGTTCGGAATCTGTCATTCCGACAAATATGTATGCTACAATATATAAAATGCAGGCGATCGCTAGCTCGGTAACATTGTAACATATCATTCGATGTCGGAAAGTAAGAAGCCCTTTGGCGGGATTGGTTGTCGAGGGAGCAGACCAAGAATATGGTTTGCAAAAAAAAGTTTTATTTATAAAAGCGCCAAAACTCTAAACAAGTACTTCCCCCATTCAAGAAAAAATGATAAGAAACAAAACTGTATTATAGCACGGACAAACATTAAAATAGACTAAAAATGTAATAGCACAAAGACACCTATTAAAATAAAACAAACGGAAGGCAACAATTAAGCTGTGAACTATACGAAAGTTTCAAAGTCGTTGATTCCTACTCACAGAGTCACAGTTCTGATTCAACTCTCCGGTCGAGCACAGCAGTTTTGACAAGGGCTAGCTTGCCAGCCTCGTCGTTGAAGTCCTTCCTCGCACCGTGTGATGTTCAAAGCCCCCAGTCGCTCCTCGCTGGCCTTGTTTTTCCGTTCGGTCGCCAAATCTTCCCGTGTCATTAACACGTCACACATGCACACAGACACCGTTGTTCGCCGCGGAAGCAATACAAGATGAAAAGTTCATCACTGCTCCTTGAACACGACGAGGTCACCACTGTTTCCCGGACTAGGAAATGACGAGAGCATCATATTTTTAACTAAAACCTCATAACAATAAAAAATAAAATGATGAACACATAACAAGCAAAAACAAAGGGACTAAATCATGAGAAAAAAATGAAATAATGAACACGGAAGTAAAAAAGAATAAAAACACTAAGGAGTGACACAGACAGCCACATTTGTTCAGTTGACATGACGTTTAATTCTGATAAAAAATATTCCTACTGCGCTAAAGATCACCAATATGGTGTGTAAACTAGGCCACCTTGAGCAAAGCAGGAATATTTGTGATCATAATCAAATGTCATTGCGAACTCAAAAAGTGCGGCTGCCTGCGTAAGTCCTTCGTATTATTACGGAGCTCATGAGTCGCCTAGAGAAGAAGAGGTAGAGGATCGCCAGCGCGCTCGCAGGGATTCAATCCTCTGTCTACCGCCATTACCCAGCTATAAATAAATCATTATCGTTTTCACCGTAACATTCTTTGGTGGAGGTGCGGACTCATCCCCGACCTGGACCTTGGCAGCAAGAGTCTTCCGCCCGCATCCAACATGACTCCACCCCCAGCGACACCACCCGAAGGCGCTCCACCTACGCCCCCGCCACCCTTAGTCCTCACAAAGCCACGGGACCCGGGACCTTTTACCGTAACAGGCGACCAGGAAATAGAAGACTGGATCGACCTCTACGAAAGAGTAAGCTTGCATAACCGATGGGACAATACCATCATGCTCGCGAACATTATTTTTTACTTGCGAGATACCGCCCGGACATGGTTCGAAACGCATGAGGAAGGGATCACCTCTTGGGAACTCTGTAAGTCCAAACTTCAAGACCTTTTTGGACGTCCCACCGGGCGTAAGCTGTCTGCAAAGCGTAAGCTGGGTTCCCGCGTAAAAACATCTACAGAGTCATATGTCACCTATATACAAGACGTCATCTCTCTCTGCCGCAAGGCTAACCCTGAGATGTCAGATTCTGACCGCATCGAGCACATCCTAAAAGGCATAGCAGACGATGCCTTCCAGCTGCTTGTAATCAAAGACTGCTCGACGGATAGCACACAAATTCAACCGCTTGCCCAACACACCAGCAACATCATCTTGCGAAGACACAGATGCCAGTTCGGTACAGATTACCAAAATCGTTCGCCGAGAGCTGGAAGCAATGATGCCTAGTGAGGGTTCCTCTCGCCCTTCCGAGTCGCCGAACATGACAGTATCGATAGCTGCTGTTCAA